GCAATGGGGCATATATAGTAAATTAACTGGAACTGGAATGAAGAAAAAAAATCATAATTGTCTGTTATACATATGCTAGAATTAGAGTTTTTAAAATTAATAAATAGAATCCTCTTGTGATCCATGCTCTTTCAAAGCACAAAAAAAGTAAATGCAGAATGTTGGAATGTTGTAGATTGCCATACGCACATTTTTACTGGTCCTACCCACTGTATTTTAAGAATTGCAGTATCGTTTTTGAAATGAAAAGCAACCTGAGATCCATGTGGACTACAGTATTACTCTTGCCACCTTCTGTCTGCCAGTGTGTGCCCAGACGCCCAGCCCTAGGTGCCCCTGCCACGTCTGGACATAGAGGCATTATGTGACTTCAGAGAGCAACATGATGAGAGTAGTTAAAAAAGAATTTAACTACTGTATTTGCTTGTTTATGCTGTGTTTTCCGTTCTTTTCAGCTAGCAGAATCTCTTTTCACTTCATCCCAGTGGATGAGGTTTATAGCATGGATATAAACTAAAGAAGTGTCAGTCTAAGAGCTGTGTGCCAGTTCTCCACTACGAGAAAGCTCTTTCAAAACAAGATATTCTTGTGCATTAATTTTGTCTGTGAGCCTACAGAGCACTCCTGATAGTCTGCTAAATTGTAAACAGCAAGTTTCCCAAAGGACTCTATCAAACAGATGCTGTAGTGATGCAATGAAAACATCCACCAGAGAATACAGATACCCAGCAGCCCAAACAACAGTTCTGCTCATATACCTTAAACGAGATCTTCTGAACTAGATAATGAGCATATATTTACATGCTACAAGGTGCATATCACAAAACGTTGTGCTTTGTGAAACTAGGTTGCTCCCTTTGCAGGCTGCCTGGCTTCACTCATGGAAATGCTTACTACTTTGTGGGAAGCCCCACAGACCAGACAGTTTTCTCACTGCTCAGTTTTCTTCTCAGGATTTTTTCTGTTGCAGCTCATACAAGAAATAGAGCAATCTGTTTGCGCAGTGATATGCAGGTCACAAAGTAAGTGTTCAGGAAAAAGCTGAATTCATATAAACATTTTGTCTTGTTCAAGGAAATGGAAAACACCGAGATGAAGAATTCAGCATTTCTGTAGTACTAGATTTGAAAGGCTTTATGGAGTCTAGGTACAGGGAGGATGAAGCAGTCTTTCTATTGGAGTTCTCTTTAAAAAAAAAAAAACCACATTTTGCCTCCACAGAAACTTACATAAAGAGCTGACAATATTAAATACATGTATTTATCTGCTTTACTGGAATTGTTAAAAAGACTGTACTGGTACTAGGGCATGGCACAAGAATGTGAAACTGTCATGGGTGGAGGACTTTTAGTGAGGCAACTGTAATTGTATGAGGCCTTTTTCTAAGTGATGTGCCTCCCTTGGAAGTAAACTGTTCTTTCTCACTTCACATCTTAAGTAGCAATATACTGAAGGATTCAAGTTGAAAAAAAATAACGCTAAAGTGAGAAACCCTAAGGCAAGCAAACAGTCAGACACTGTAGCGGTGTTGAGGGAGGCTTTGAAGGGTCTTGCCAAAATACTAAACTCCCTGGCCAAAGACTTTTTGAAAGAGCAATGAGAATGTTTTTATGGTGTTTTATGTTGGAGAGTGAGCTTGTTAGATGAAGTAAGTGCTTGGGACAAATTCTGAAGCTTCTAACTGTTTAGACTGAAAAAGAGCTTTTTCTAAAACACAGCAACTTATGAGTAGAAAGAAAATATGGAATACCTGTTTACACAGAAGCATAGTTTGTTTGAGCCATGTTTTTGAGGTTTTGTACAGCAAGAAGAAAAAATGTTAACTCTGTACCAAGTCACATGCTAAAATGTGCAGGACAGGGCTTCCAATCAGCAGAAAGGGAAACAACTTTGATTCCAGATAAGAATTTGGTGCTATATATTCTGCACAGAAGCCCTGAAGATAGTAGTTTTCTGCTGTCTCTTGCTTCCTATGCTTCAGGAAGAATTACATGCGACATGGCAATTGAAACTTGTACTTTTGAATAGGACATTCTTGCCTATTGTTAATTCTCCAACAGACTACTAAATGAAAAAAAAACAGCAAGACTGTTTCTACTTGCTCTTTTTGTGTTTGATGGGATCTTGAAGGCTGTAAGTTAGTGCTAATCTCTGTTGGTCCATTGATTTTGGTGGGGCCCAAAGTGATTAAATGTTTTAGAATTTCTGTTCTAACTGGCTTCCTGGTTCTTCCATGGGCAGTCTTTGGTGCCTGCTTGTTTGGAAGTTGCTGTTTGACAAAGTTATGCCTGTGGAAATGATGCAGTGAAAGAAGTGCCTAGGAGTGCATGGATGGCATCTATTTAACTTCATGTTTTGAGGTTCAAAAAAGCCACTGTTGCCAATTGTTAGTGTTGAGTCCCCTGTCTAAGAAGTTACAATTGCTGTAGTATGCTAGAGGTAGTTTGGAGATGGGACAGTGGTTATTGAATCTGCAGTGGAAGCCCTCTGGGGAGTCACTCTGGAAGTTAAGGAAAAGATTACATTTTAAAACATAATTCCTTACATCACTTGAAATTTATTTTAGAATTGTTTTCGGAGTCAACAGACTCTTAATACACACTTGAAATAGTACCCTAACTATTAAAGTCTGCCATATAAAACAATCACATGTTTAACTTAGATACAGAGCTATTGAACATGTGCTTTTTGAAACAGAAATTATGTATGCGTCTTTCAGATAGAGAGTAATGTGTATGCAGTATGTTACAGAGCACAGTGTTTCCTTGAACAAAGTCACTTTGACACTGCTCTTAGATCAATAGTCACCAAAAGTTAGTAAACATTGGCTGCTGAGATCTAAAAGTTGGTTGATATAACACGTACAGAACTCTGTGAATGATTTTTATGTATGTTTAAATGCTTTCAGCTTTTGACAGTTTTATTAATTTGTTTACCATTGTTAGAAGTAAAAATTATCTCAAGACTATAATGTGGTCATGGTCACTCAGTTTAATGTGTAGAATACTGCTTCTTAATGATTGACAGTGGGGTGGTTCAGTTATGTATTTTCTGGGGGTTTATAGATGTAAAATTCTGTCTAAGATACAAAATCCTTTAGGAAAAGTGGATCACACTCCAGTGTGGTCAGACTGATCTGGGCAAATTCATACCTAAATTATATTTTAAGAGGGCTATTTGTGCAGATGTTTTTTCCCAGTTTGACTTGTTCAGTTTCTGCAAAATAAGCCCATGTTATAGAGCACCTTGTTACTGACTTTATCCTTCTAATTCAGTTCAGAAGCTATACACAACAATTGTTCTGTGTGATGCTGATGAAAGGTAAAAGCTAGATACTGCATTTGCTGCGCTTTGGAAGACAGCATGGAGTGGATTAATGCTGGCAGTGCCCTTCTGTGGGTTGGGAGTGGTTTGGAGATTAATTATGAATATTGCTATGATTAATACATGCCAGAGACCCATTAGCTTCACTAATGGTTTTTACAGGGGCTCTCCACAAGCTCAGTGTGAGCATGCTGCCTGGCTCTTTTTCGCCTTTCTTTTTTATTCCTTGTATTTCCTGGCATAAAAAAGGCATCTCCAGCAGTATTTAGCAACAGAATAAGTCCTGAATTATACATGAAACTGAATACCGGCCTTTGGGTTGATATTATAAGTTTTTGTAACTAACTAGATTTATTTATTCTGGATAAATAGAAAGACCAGATGGGCTTTCTTTAGGTTAAAGTTCATTTGGAAGAAATTTATATTTCTGGGAAATTCGTGTGGGAAAATGAGCAGTGCAGTTCCAGGAACCTGGGAATAAGTTTGTAGTAGGAAGCTTTCATGTTCTATTGCTGGGTTATTTGTTGATTTGTTTGTTTGTTTGTTTGTTTGTTTGTTTGTTTTGGAAAAATGCTTAATCTGTAAGTCAGTTTTCTTGTAAAAATTGACTGATGTTTTGGATGCATGTTGAAGCTTACATCTAAATTGCTCCTAGACCTGTATTAATACCTTGTATTTTCTAATCAAGTGAGCTTATAAGTAACAGGCTATATTTTATTAGTTGCCATCAGAGTTCAAGCAAAATAGCTAGTAGTTTATTTGGGTTTGCTGGAATGATACTTTCATCTGCATTCTCACGAAAATGCTTCTAAAGGGAGATGAACAGTTTGAAACAACTTGTCACAATTCAGGTTTCTCCTAGTCTCCTTCTGTCAGTATCTCCTAACTAAAGACTTTTGGAGACAGGGTGTAGAGATGGTCTTATAAGACTTTTAATCCTGTGGAAGAGTTGTTATATTGTAGAAAAGACCAGCACCTATATCCTGTTTCCTTAAATCCCCCATCTTTTTGGCTTGGTGTCCTTCATAGTCTTGAAGAGGCAGGAGCAGCTCTTGCCTGGAAAAGGGCTGATCCTTGTTCATTGCTGTTCCCTGATTATGCCTATGTTGTGTATTGAAAAGCACTTCCTTAGTATAGACCAGCAAGTGCTGCTTTTGGTCTGCAGAAGGTTTGGGAAATGATATGCCTGTCCCAGTGTTATTTCCAGTTGTTGCAGACTTGTTGCAAGGTCAGGGAAGTTTGATTTCCCTCATGTACACTGGGGTTGAAAGACTGCTTTCACTCCATTTTCGTTTGTTCCCTGGTCTCAACTTTCCTATGTCTACTTGCCCTAAGCCCCTGCAGAGCTTACAGAACAGGGACTTAAAGGATCGCAGGACCTCTACTACTGTTCTGGCGCGCGCGCACACACACACACCCCCCTTTACATTAGGAGTAAAGCCTGACCAGGGCAGGAGTGATGTTGCCATGCTACACAATGAAATTAAGAGATGCAGCTGGCCATGGAAAAAAGGAAAAAAGAGGGGAGAGAGAGACACAAACCAACAAAAAATCCTCAGTGAAATGGGCTGTGTCTGAAACCAGCTGTCACTTGCATATCTACAAGCTCTGAAATTTTAGTTATTCAGAATAATCTGGTTCCTAATACATACAATAGACATGACTTTAATTTGTGCTTTTATCTTTGTTCGGTCTTGCATCCATTTTATTGTTTTCATACTGGTTAGTCCTTTTTTTGCCAAGGACACAAGGAACATGCATTTTTCCAGTTAAATGTATCACTTAAAGGATTATGAAATTCCCCCTTGTCTTTAGTAAATTATAGATTCAGACACGTCATTTTCTTTGAGAATTAACCCATTAATTGTAGCTGTTTATCTTACTGTAATAAATAAGAACTGTTTATTTCACTGGCAAGCTGGTAGTACAGTATTGTACTTATGCTATAATGCACAGAGTGAAGTCTATGGCTAAGAATGTTAACATTTCTGTCAGTATTTTGAACGCTTGTTTAGATGTTAGTTAAGCTCAAACATTCAGCTTCATGTTGAAGTAGTTCTCTTCCTGAAAACGCCAGTGATCTTCGATGGGGACTTCTGCCTGGTGCAGTACTTTAAGCCTATAGCGTCTCTCTAGGCAGTCCATAACAAGTGGGTATGTTGCAGGCTCAAATTTGTTGGCAAACAGATGAGGTGACTCTATAATCCACTGCAAATCCCCTAGTCCATAGACACAAATGTCTCTGATGTAATGACCTGCAAAGACAAACTGAAGTTATCTGAAAGCAGCAGAAAGTTGAACAGAATAATAGTATTGCTCTGTAGTGTTATTAACAGAACTTTTTGATTTCACATAGAGCATCACAAAAATATATCTGTAGGATAATGCTAGATCTTAAACATAGAGGCAAGAGTTTGCTTTTGTATTTTACACCAATGGGTATGTCACTTCCAGCTCTGCTTAATACTGTGTTTTGTAGTTGGACATGGTGAAGTTCTGATCTACTGCTATTTGGATACCTGTTTAACCATGCAGTACTTTACTGTGCTGAGTTGAGACAGTTAAACATTTTGTGGTTTTGCATGTGGTCAGCACTGTTCTTTATTATTGTTCCAATTGAAGAAGATTTAATCCAATGTTGATGAAAATGCCTGGCAGGCATGCCTGTCAGAAAAACCCCTATCCTTCGCTGAAAACCGATCGGTCAAGTTAATGCATTGGTAATCGGAGGTTGAAAGCAAGTTGTCAGTATATGGATACTGTGACAGTCTTTACAAGAATATGTCAGAAGCTGGATACACTGGAGTAAGGCGGCTTTCAGTTTTGATACTTCCAAAATAAGTTACATGTGACCAGTGAGGCACATTTAATACCCCGTTTAAAGCATAATGTGTAATTTGCCATTAATGCTGATCAGTGAGTCACATTTGAGTTCATTACTGAAATTCACATTACCTTTGCAGCCTTTGTGTATGGTTCCTTCTTGATCTTTCCATTTAATGGCTCGTATGTTTCCTTCCCAGTCTGCATGTGGTGTAGCCCCTGGAGCATCTTTAAAAACATAAAGTTCTGATAAGATTTCTTTCTACTTATTAGAGGGAAAATTCTCACTGCTGAAGACTTAACTGTAGTCATGTTCAGTATTTATTTACAGATATTTGCATCATTCTCAGCTTTATGAGTTTTAATTCCTTGAGAGCAAGAGCTTTCCTGTAACAAAACCCCCTCCTTTTTAATCAACATTATTCTAGCTAATGGTCTGCATGTTAAGTAGTACTTTTATGGAATCAGGCTTTGTTTCTTGGCTGTCAGATGTGACTTTTTGAAAGGGCAGCATCAAGGCTGAAGAAATTACCATGTTTATGCAATGTGACTCAGTTAAGCGGTGGTGTTAAGCTCTGAATTGGAGCTCACTAGCTCTCCATATCAGAGGCCTTACAGTGCTGTTGCTCCAGGGGTTATGCATAGTAGAAGTAACATACATCTTACCATTTAAGCGATTCAGTGTGACCCAGTAGTGTTCATCCGGGCTGTACGTGTCTCTTGACCATTCAAGCAAATCTTTTGCACGTGCATCAGTCAGTGTAAACTCTACAAATTCTTTAGTGAGTATGTAGTAAGCACTACCAAAATATATAGTCAAATTATATGGAGGTTTAGCTTTTGTATTCTTTGTTGGATACACGTATGACATTCCAGAATGTACATACTCCTTGTAACTAACTTGTGTCCTATGTTTCATATGAAGTGGTTGAACTACCCCAGGAGTCATATTTTTACCATTCCATTTACTTTTAATGTATTGTATAATGTCTTTGTTTGTTTTAATGGGATAATCTTGCCCACATAGATTAATAACATAATTCCACTGAATTTTGGAACGAACTAGATCTCTCATGCAGTTAATATCAGCTTGTAATCTTGAAAATCCTGCATAAACAACATTTTCTCTTTTTGAGGAAAGAAAAATATTTTCAAAACAATTGACAATGTTTTGAACAGCAGCTTTATAATCCTGTGATGACTTCTCATCAACATGTATGCAGTAAATATTCTGAGGCATATAAATAGCTCTTAGCAGCTTTACAAACATTTCCAGCTCCTTGTGAATTGTAATAATGTATGCCAAGGAGAAATTCCCTTCTTCGTCTGACAGTGGTCTTGTGATAAAATGCAGTGTCTTCAAAACCACAGAGCAGTTGCATGAAGTCTGAATGCAGCTGAGTATTTTAGGTTGGTAGGTATTCTGACAAGAGTTTCCAATTTTAAAGGCAGCAGTTTTCCCTGCAAAAAGAGCTGAACAAAGCTCATCCGGGTAAAATCCACACTCTGCTATATTTGCATTAAATTTTTGTTCATTTGGCCCTTCAGAAAGTATATCCTTCAGGTAGATGAAAGTGTAGATGAACATGCAGACAGCAATGCAGAGTAAAAATCCTGATTTTGTTGCATCGAGTGGGTTCATCTTCTATTTTCCAGATACTGTCTTCTCATTGTAGTTGAATTAAGTGTTCAGTTTATCTGAAAGAAAAAGTGAGATAGAAAGATGGAGAGAACCTTTTATAATTTATTAATAGGTGACATGTTAGTGATGTATCTAAATGTTGAGATTACTCTTTCCAGTTACTAGGAGGAACTCTGTGTGCCCATACTCATGCTGCAGTGTACTCAGCCCTTGGATATGGTACTTGCAGAGCCATGAAGCAGTCTTTCTAGGACAAACAAAATTATCCAAAGAACCAAAAATGGCTTTTTATGTTTCATTAGTTGATCAAGGAGGAGGGCTAATCCATTGGATACAGCCTTCTCCTCTAAGGCCAGGTATGTCTCAGTGGGTGAGTCCAGTGATGTGGGTTGGTCAAGGTCTAGCTTTAGAACAGGGCAGATGTGTGAGCACTGTGTGCTGGAGGACAGCTGCTGCTGAGATTTCCTGAAGGCCTAAGAAACCTTAAGTTCTCCCAGAGGACCAGAATTAAATAAATTAAATCAGCAAAAAAATTATTAAACAAGCAAAAGGAAGAGACTAAAATGTAATCCACAAAATACACTGGGTTTTATCTTTATGCAGGCAGCAAATGTGATTTATTTTTTTTCTCTGCCATCTTTGTATTAGTGCTTTGGAAAACAGAACATGGCAGACAATCATTTCTTATTTTTAGCATGTGTGCATATCGAGAGTTAAGTGCATCACTGCCAGGGTTAACATTGAGATAACTGTAGTTTACATCAGTATAGGCACAGGAGTTTTTCCACTGTGATTTTTTTTTTTTTTTTTTTTTTTTTTCTCCTCATGTTTACCTTATTGAAAGTCAGAAGAATGAGAGTGCAGCGGTACTAAATCCCACAGCAGTTACATGGAGGCTTTATCCTTGAAGCATTTGGTGTAGAACTTCCTAGAGAAAATACCACGGGTGGAGGAAGGGTTCAACTGCCATTAATTGTAAGAGTTAAATTAAGACATTATTTTTCTTTGCTCAGTGAATTTATTTACTGTATTTCACCTGTAAACGTTTCATGCTTTGCAGCTATCAACATCACAACATACTTGGTTTTACATAGGGAAAGAGAGCAATCTGCGTTTATAAAGAGTGCTGTTGTGGTTAGAAGGCTCTGGGGTTTTCATTAGAAAGAAGAAGATGATAATTCTTTTAATGAAAACTCAGTATACATCAGTCTTAGAAGCTTGAAAATAAAGAGGGCATTTTAGTTTAAGTAGTAGAAATGAGACATGGAGTTCAAAAAGCATTAAGAATACAGCATTTGAACCAAAGAATGGATACTCTGTATTACCACAATTTTAAAATCTTATTAGGCTTTTGGGAAAGAATGTATTTATTTAATTGTCCTTACTGGTATGCACTGGATTTCATGCTGGAAGAATGCCTCTTTTCCACTTGGCATTCCAGAAAGTGGAGTTGAATGTTAGGTGGAGGGTTCATCCATTTTGCCTGTATGTTCTGTCAGTACTGCTCATCAGTCTGTGTTGGATGAATAGGCCAAAGAAAAACATTAGGAAATCAGGTCCCAGAAGAATGTATTTTTCTTCATGGCTCCCAAGGGATACATTTACTGGGTAAACAAGCTTGATGTGAGTCTTTGATTCCTTTGAAGAAAAGCTTCAGCAGATCAAATCCATGTCAACCTTTTGGTATTGTGCAGAAAGGAGGAGAAAAGGAATGCCACCAAAAGGTGAAAGCCAGGGGTTTGCAGTAAAAATGACGTACGCCAGTGCTGTGGCCTGCTACCAGCTGACTGCCGGAGCCAAGAATAGATTTGCATATGGCCATGATGTGCCCAGTGGCAGAAGTTGGGAAGAGGGAGTGTCTGTTCGGGAAGCACAGATTTTCATGGAGTCAGAAAAACTAATTCCAGGAGGAGCATTGAGGTTGCTCTGAATTAATGAATGTGATGAGATCCCTATGGTATGTCACAGGGAATGTTCATTCTGGACATAAAAATTACACTGAAGGCACTGGGCAGCTGTAGAAATAACGGGGACTTTATACCCACTTAGAATATAGAACATCTGTACATGATGATGTACATGAGCATGCTCATCGTTTTTTTTCCTTAAATACATCTTTGTGGACAGGTTGCAGAGGATAGTTCCCTGGGGAATCAAGCTGTTTGTATCATACACTTAGATTTTTTTATTACCCTTCAGGTAATAGCTTCCAGGGATCTTTCAGGTTGTTAAGTGTTTACTATGGATTTTTCCTATTGAACCATGAGGTGTTGAGAAGCTGTATTTTGCATGGCAGCATGAAAGTACACAAACACCATGCTATCAGGTAGGAAGAAATAATTCCTTCTCCAGTGTTAATATGTTTCTGGGGAACGACTAAATGAGGAAGCCTTGTCTATGAGAACAGAACTTGACATCTTTTAGCCGCAAGATGTATTATAGAATGAAAGCATTGATTTTTCTGTTTTTACCAGATCTAGAGCTAGAATTGGTGCTGTTAGTCCAATTGCATTTGAAATTTGCCACTTAGAAGAATCCTTTAGCCCCTATGCTGTTGTTTCCTGTCAAGGACTACACTACTGTATTTCTGTATTTCTTCCTGCCCTTGAAGAGCAAGGTGTCATACTGTTGAGCATATCCACTGTCCAGACATAATCCAGTCTGTGATATCTTGCCTTTTAAATTTTATTATGCAAGAGTGCCATTATAGGTATTTATTGTTATCAGAATGCATTTGAAACTCAACCTTTTCTATGTTACAGACATTTTCTAAATCTGGAGGGTGAAGTTGTCTTAATTTTTAGAAGTGCTGAGAGTAGTGGCTGACACTGTAGGGATTTTCAAGCAACTTCGTGATTGCTGTTATGGATATTACTTAACAGAAAATTGTTGTTATGCTAAGCTCTTCCACCTCAATTAAATAGGTAAACTGGAGAAAAGTAGAATTACGTTTATGCCTGAAAAGAAGCCTGTGAAATATCTCAGTTAATCCAGACCCCATTAGCTGTGTACTTTGCTCCGCAGTTCACAGTAGCAAATCATTTTACATTTTGCAGTTCCTTCCTGCCACAGTGTTTTGGGCTGGATTATTTCACCTCTAAATACTCTATTTTGCCTGTACTCTTTGTATTTGCTTAATATTAAAGCTTAGATTAAAATGTAAGCTTTGTATTTGCTTAATATTAAAGCTTAGTTTAAATTGTAGTTCTTAAAGCTTCATAATTCAGTGAACCAAACAATTTAGGAATACATCATTTTTTTTAAAAATGGCTAAAATGTATTAACTGCTCCTTCCCAAATATTTTATGTCTGTTTTTTGTCTGAAAGGGGTTTATACAGGCATTAGTATAAACATTTTATGAAGAGGTGAATACTAATTTGGTCCTTTAAAATCTAAATGTTAAAAGTCAGCGCTTTTAACTGCTTTTTACTTTGCATTTTTGCTTCAGCCTGGGGAAGTGTGCTGAGCCTGCTTCTGTGTTGTGATATATCAAGTAAAACAAAATTTCTTCATCAAACCTAATTAACCCTGCCTTAGAAATGTAACATTATTCTTCCTTAAAAATAGTGTATTGGTGTTTACTGGTATATACTCAACAGATTTATAGAGCTTTTTCCTGTCATTGGTTTTTTTTTTCATTGTGTATTTGACTTTATAACAGTTCCAAACAAGTACTATGAAAGCTATTTAAACCCTTGAGTTAGAGGGTATAAAAATGAAGTTGAACAGAGCATAACAAGTATTCCTAAGTACTGTGATTTTTATAATGCAAACGACACCAGTAGTAATGACCTCCATCATACACTACCTCTATGACAAAGTAAAAAAGAAATGAAGTATTAACCTTATGGCAGAGTTGAGTATTTTAAGTGAAATAATTAAATATTTCTATAAATATAATAAATATTTCTGAAGTGAAAATATTTGCTGATTTACAAAAATAAAAATGTGTTTTAATAGAGGAATAGTAGAAATCTGAAGCTCTGCAATCTAATTTATCCAGTCTTACCTTGTATGAAATTAGCCAGGAGACGGCAGCATCATAAAAATAAATGGAGAGTCCCATTGTCCTTCAGCAGAATTCAGACGGTGTTCTTCATTCTGTCGCTTGTGTGGGGATCTGGTGTAAGTGAAAGGGGTTAAACATTAACGGGAATGTTTTCATTTAGGGCTTCATCTGGCTTCCCGCAATGCTTAGCATATTTATTCTGCAGTAATGCTGTTTGGCTTCAGAAATTTCCTCTGCTTCACAGTAATGAGTAAAAACTTTAGCTTCTCTAAATTCTGTTGCCACTCTTTCTCAGACAGCCTTTAAAGGACCGAAATCAGACTTTCAAATATGTAGAGTACATTGCTGATGATTATAAATAGTATTGCCTTACCTCAGAGGCTTTAACCTCTGCACTGCTAACCGAGCATGCTGGCTGATGAGAACTGGGAAAGAAACAGCCCTCTCCTCCTCCCCCGAGTTCTTAACTGTTTGCTTGCTGAAACTTTCCAGTTTGCAGCAAATAAATATAGCAAAGAAATGCCTTTGGTCATTTCTAGTAGTTGGAAGCTTAAAAGATAAATGAAATGCCTCATTCTGAAACAGAATAATACTACTTTTATAAAGATTTTTAGTAAGTGAAAGGCTTTTAATAAGTGAAAAGTTAGCATCTGAAATTTGCTGGAATTGGGAACGTTTGGAGTTTTGGAAGCAAGTAAGAAGGCTGGTGTATTTTGGACATGTTCCGATAAAAATAGCATGTTGGTCAGAAATAGAGAGAAAACCTCGAAGTAAATTAAGGCACAGCTGCAGGTGTGGCAGTTACAACATTGTCATTGACTCTTGGGGAAGCTCTGTGAATAGAGGCTTCTGCTTGGACAGTGTTTTTGTAGGAGATGCTACAACTGCTGCATGAAAGTTTGTGTTCTGTGAATTAGTATGTAGGAGACTTTCCACTTCTCCCAAGTTATCATTTAGTCTTTGACCCATTGTATGTCTGAGTAGGGTGGCAGTGTCGAAAATTGTGTTTGTCAAATATTGTACTACTGTAAACATCTAGATATACAAAGATATTTGCCTGCTTATTTGTAAGTCAATTTGTAATGAATGGAGTAGTCATGGGTGGAACTACATCTTAGATGCTGTACCAAAAAACTCCTAAATTCACTGTCAAAAGTAGTTGGCCTCAAAAAATGAAGTACAGTTACTGTCTTATGTAGCTGAAATTTAAGAGACAAATGTAAACTTTAGAATTCAGGAAATCATTTTAAACTAAGATTTCATTATTACTAACAAAAGTCATGTGTTTTATTCTCTGAGAAAGGTAAGCAACTATCCTACCAGATTAAAATGACTTGAAATTTAGGTCTTCATTATTTGAAAAAGTAATTTAGCTATCTCTTTTACTAGTTTAAAAGATTAGATTTATGTCAAAATTAATATCTCCTTTACAGCTCATAATACCTTGAATCTTATAAGTTTACGCCTTTGGGTTGTTTTCTGGTTTTTGGGTTTGTGTTTTTTAAAGTTGATATTGTGTGTGTGTGTGTGTGTGTGTGTGTGTGTGTGTATGTGTATACACATGGGATGATATGTAGGGTATGTAAATTTATGACTATCAGACTTCGGAGACTTCTTGATCATATTTGAACAGCCTTTAATTCCGTGATGCGAGCATGTTAAGCCATTTAGATATAAACAATTTTGAATGCACTTTTATAATTGGACTCTGGAAGGCCTTTTAGACAACATCCTTGCTGCTTGTTCAGCATCTCCTTCAGATAACATCCCACTCTTCTTCAGTTACAGACCGAATCTTGCATTCAGATCTGCAAGCTGCTGGTCTAATGCTTTTGTCCATTCCTGAGTAGTCTCCAAGTTCAGTCTCATTTAGAAATATCTTCTATTAAAGTGCTACAAAAACATAAAGGAACTACAGCGGGTACCTTCCTATGTAGTTAATGTCCCAATATAAACAAGGTACAGCAAGGGAGACCCTGTGATATCAAACATACACCCCAGAAGACTTTAACCTGAAGGAGCAATCTTTCTAAATTTGCAAAACTGACCACTTGTGTTCAGATTCATTTTGAAACAAATTTAAATACATTTTAAAATCCATATTTAAAATTAAATACATATTTAAATACATTTAAATAAATGTGTTCATCACTGCAGACTGCAGTCAAAGCACTGTCCCTATGTCCTTTCATTTGTTTAATTCCTACTGCAAACCTTTGTTTAGAAAACAGAAGAGTAGTGACAGAGGTGGGGTTATTAACTGATCTTCCACATTAACAGAAAGCTTCTGGATTTAACAAAATAACAAAAAAAAAAGGAAAAAGAAATTGAGATCTTAGAAAATGTTATAGTCAATGTACTGACTTTGCCAACTGATCAAAAATGTGCACAGTGAAACATTTGTGTCTTCAATCATAAAGCAAATGGGGAATTACATGAACCACATTACATGCATTATCCAGATTAATTACAAATATACTTTGAAACTTGGCAGAGTCTAATAGATCAGATGACTGACAGTGAGGTAGCAAGGCTGGGTTAATGAATAATGCTGCTTTTATGACCCCTTTTCATCCCCAGAGTCATTTAAAAAATAATCTTTTAAATAGAAAAAAAGTCCAAACAAACCAGGTTTTGCTGTCTAGTGTTGGGGAGAAAAATTCCCTCATGCTGTCTGCTCGACATGCAGAGGAATAACACCTTTGTCATTGTTCCTAGTCAATGCAGAGGAATAACACCTTTGTCATTGTTCCTAGTCAATATAAAGAAACTGCTCCTGTCAAATGTTACTCCTTATGTTGAAAGACAAATTCACGGCATAACACTTAGGTCTTTATGAAATGCATTCATAACTAAAACAATATTTCAAAGTAATTTAGTGTTTTGCTTTTACCTATGGGGTTCAGAAAATTGAGTAGATTGTAGATAGGAGTACTTTGTTTAATCTAGTCACTGTACATTTCATGCTAGTAAGACAAGGAACCCATGGATGGAAAATACACAATGGGACCTTTCCTTTAAAAAAAAATAATAATAATTAAAAGTGTTGGTACTCATAATGAAATAATTTGCAATTTTTGTTACTAATGGAACAGGCTTTGGACAAGAACAAAATATTTTCCTATATATTTTTCTTATAGAGTTTGCTGTGCAGATTGATATGTGAGCTGCTTTTAAATTGGTTATCAAAAGTTCATGATTCACTTGTAAGATGAGTATTTATTCTACTTTTCAAGAAGGAATGCTGCCAATTGGTATTATTTTGCTCTGTGGTAAAATCAACTGAGATTTTTCCCTTTGACGTTTTAAGTGAGAAGACATGTTAGACTGTATTAAAACAGAACTATTGGAAAAGACACAGCGGCAAGTGGAAGGGCTGGAGATCTCCTTGGAGAGCTTAAGCACAGTATTAATTCTAGCAAAGGTCAGCCAGCATACAGACCTTAAAAGTAATACTGGTTTTGTCCATTTTTTTTTCCTTTAAGTGTGGTGTTCCCTTTCAAGAGGAAGATGTGATTATCCTTAATGGCAATAAAGAAGATGTGGAAGTATTGAAGAAAAGAATGGAGGATAGAAGACTTAAAAGTAAATTAGAAAAGGTAATATTTTTACATGTTGTTTAAAACAAAATTGAAACAGTTCTTGCCTGTAATGCGGTCTGCTCTTAGATTGCATAGTTTTGCTAACCTTTGTGCAGATGGAAGGATTTACTCAGTGAGCTGTGTTGTATCAGTGCTACTTTTTAAAGTAATGGGATTGTGAGCATATTTTGCTAATAGCTTATTGAAGTTGTATGTACTGAAACTGTCTTGAATAGCGAGCAGTGTGTAGTGCTATGAAGATCACAGAATTCAATGCCAGCTATGCTTCAGGTCTTTCTTGAAAGTTCTTTCTTGAAACGAATAGAGATTGTATTAGTTAATTCTAGTAATGAGCAAAATCTTAACCTGATGGCAGGTTATTAGTTGTTTGCTCTCAAAGTATCCTCTGAGGCCAATGTCAGAAACAATACTGGGGTATGTAGATTCCTGGTCTGATTCTGTAAGACCACTGCTGGGAAATTTTTACATACTTTGTGGTTCTTAAAGTCCTGGGTGATTACTGGTGATGCTACTTCCTGCCGCAATGTCGAGGTCTTTGCATTTATTTTTGGTTTCAATCTGATGAGGCAAAATGCCATGTAAATAAAGTTGCTGATCTACTCAATGCACTACTGTGTACTACTCTGTGAAGTAGTAGTTGTTTTGTGGTACAGTACTGTCAAATGAAAGTTCTGCATAAGGGACTTCTTTCAACATTTTTGTGGTGTTCTGAACTGGCATTGCTGCTCTGGAGGATGACAGAGCAAGCAAAAAGTCAGTGTTGACTCAGTCCAGAGTGCAGGCATATTTGGTTGACTCTCAAGAGCATGAATCTGACACTTTCAGCCACAGAGACTTTAGATGGAGGTCCATCATCTCATCCCTATTACTGCACTTAATTTTGCCTGCCTGTAGGATTAGATGGCATACAAATGTTTTCCTGGATTGTTTTGAGTCAAATACTTGTTTAATTTCCTATGAGCACATAATTCCTTCGTGTCATGGGGTCTTTATACATCAATACACCGTCACTGGGCCTGGGCAATGCAACAAAAGAATGGTTACCCATACAAGTTCTGCTATTCTTTTTCCTCTGTGTTTATAGCCTCTGCATTTAGTATCCTATAGGTTTTTGCATAAAAGCAGTACTGTAAATCTCGTGCTGTCTCTTCAGATGTTTGTGGGGTTTTTATTCCCAGTACTTTATAATTAAATGTTTTAAAGAATTTTACAGATAATTTGATGATAGAATATTGGAGATCTGAGTAGATGAGTAATCAGCCCCAAAAGCAGTGGTTGGTTGTGCTCAATTTTCATTAGGAAGGTAGCCCTGACAAAGCAATGATAGCTTTGGTTCAAGTAAATTGGAATAGTCTGAAAGCTGGAACAAAGCTTACACGCAACAAAGAAGTACCACCTAAGTGTGGTGTCCAGTTCTCTTTTACAGTGTTGGCGTGGTCACTTATGGTGGCAGACAAAAGGAAATCATGCTTTGGCCTGAATATACCTTGGCTGAATATGCAAATATTTTGTGTTTGCTTAGTGGAGGCTTACAGTACAGGCAGGTACAGTATTTGCAAATCTCTCAGCAGGTGTCTTGCATTTCATCCTCAAGTTTTCAAGGTTTTTTTGCAGTTCTGCCTTCCTTGCTGCACAAGCTGATGTTTTTGCAGCTAGAACCAGTCTTCTCTGCTGTCACTGGCACTATTCACTTTAATCCAAGATCTGTGAGCTGCAGTCCTGATATTGGAAGACAGTTTCTAGTTTTGGGTCTGTTGGCACTGCTGTTCAGGTGTCTTCCTCCGTTCCTTTTGGCAAGGAGAGAAAGGGGACCAACTGTATTTG